AAAGTATAACCAAGTCTAATGCTCATCTTGCCGATGGCTTTCAACCGGCCAACGGGAGGCAGGTGCTAATGCCTGATATTAAAGTGCAGCGGACCAAAAAAATAGAATTAGAAAAAAATAGGAATTCTCCGCGAATGTATGCTCTTACCTTGATCTTCGTCGATGTCACAGATGCATTGCGGCTTAGAGCTTAGATTAATTACGAGAGGAATCTGGTCTGCAAGATAAGATATGGAGGATTTTGGTAATGTAATGCTATCGGCCAAAGTCGTAAATAAATAAGCACCACAATAAATCAAACGCAAAAACTTGAATAACAAACTCGGAAAGAAATACTCACTGGAAAACGACGACCTGTCTGGTTTCATACACGAGACTAATCTCTTGATTAGTTTTTAATATGAGCGATATATGGCCAGATGGCAGGATGAGGAGGCCCCTGTCACTCACAGGGGACCGGACCCAATCAGCTCCTTGTGAGACTGCGAAGCCACTGGCGGCCGAAAGGTGTGTTTGCACCCTTAGACTGAAGATGACACTAAGATGACGCGATACCAGATGATGTGACAAGTGATTAATCAACTGTTGGTGAGGGAATAACTCGATTAGAAATGACAAGTGTGCTTCCAGGTAGATCAACGTGCGTGACTTTCACGTTGCGCGTGAGGTTTAGAGTGGATTCAAAGTTGACGAAATGCTCACACCCAGTGCAATGATCGCACCCGAGCTCTGGAAACCAAGAGACACACCATCCAGAAAGCGAGTCCGTTTTCCTCAGATTTGTCCGGCAGCACGGCGCCTGCGAGACTCGGGGTAGGCCACCCCGCCGAACACGCATGCACCGCAGGCATGATTTTGCCTACCCATCAGGCGCCATGGGAGCCATCAGGGGCAAGGTTTGTTACGGCTAATGCCAGACGTACTTTTTTGGATGATCCCGATCACCTTTTACGAAGCGAGACCCGCCTTCTGGAATAACATTCTTTGGATTCTTTGTGTGTTTGTTGAAGTTTTATTCTGATGTGATGCTATTTTACTTGCTTGCAACAAATTATGGCACGTGGGGCAGATTTTTGGGTTGTGCGTCTGCGGTGCCAATTAGAGACGATTGGTCCCCGCCCCGTAGTGTTGTCGAGAGGCAGCGCCACTTTTGGGTTCCTGTGACGCCTGGCCGCCCCTGCCGCCCCCCGCCCACCCCCTACCACAATACGCAGAGGGCGGGGGCGGCGGGCGGCGGTCCCCCTGCGGGGTTGCAGCGGGCGGGCGGGGCGGGCTCAGTCGCGGTTCTCTCCTCGCGGCGCTCGGCTCGCCCGGCTCGCTCGGTTCGCTCCGAGGGGTTGATCTCGCGCCCGGCGTCCTGTTCGTGTATCCGCACGCCCGCCGCCCAGCCTCTCTCTTCCCTCGCCTCGTCCTTATCGCCCCCGGAGCGGCTCCCGAGCCTCGTCGCAGCGCCGGCCTCGGCCGCCAAGAGGACCGCGTCAAAAAAAAAAAGCTCGTCGCCCATGGGCGCCGACCCAAGCCCCGGCCGCGGCCTCCGACCGAACCGGCGTCGCCGTCGACGGGATCCTGGGCGCGGGTGGTGACGAGCGACAGGCGCCATGCCCCGGCGCGGGCCCCCCGGATACGGCCCGGCGCTGCTCCTGGGACTCGCGCTGCTGCTCGGACTCACAGGTACCAACACAAACAACAACACCGCGCCTCCGCCTGATTTGATGTAAACGAAAGACATGCTCATCACAAGTACGCAGCGCGAGTAGAGCGCGGCTGCGCGTTGTCTGCTGGGAGCGCCGCGGGGCCGGGCAGTCCCGGCGCGCGCGGCTGCCCACCGGGTTGCCTACCCACTCCTCCGACCGGCGCTCGCCGCGCTCGGGGAGGCATGCGCGGCGCGGCGGCGGTGGTTGGTGCAGACCTCTCTGGCGGCCGTGTTTGTAACGAGGGACTTCGCTCACGCTTTTGTATTTACTGCTATTGTGTTATTGGCGACATCACAAACTATTATTTCTCCGTCCAGTTTTGTTGACGTTGTGCTACCGGCGGAAGCTGGGTGGAGAGCGAGCGTGTCCTCAGCACTAGATGCATTCGACGATAGGCGGCTCGATCGCGTGGGGCACGTGGACTCCAACGGAAGCGCCATGAAGAGTCCACTCGCGCGAGCGGACGAAGCAAATACCGAACGCGGCTGATCTATCTCCATCCGCTCGTAACCATTTCAGATTTTCGTCCATATATAGAAATGAATATTGAATCCGCCAAAGAAAACGCTATGGTTACGGCTACAGCGACGTTCAAATTTGGGAATCGGGAATGGCTCAGTTTTAGTAAGTATCGCCGAGAATTCAAACAAGGCAAACTGACCACGTTTGAGGTAAATATGTTTCAGACCACAGTATATTAGTGTAGGTACCGTGTGACAGTACAGTGTGGCGCCGACTTCGCTTGACTTTGACTTGGCGTGTCTAAACGAGATGAAGTGGCGTGACAGTTTCTCACAGCTCTCAAATAATTAAAATTGCCTTAGAAAAAGCAAACAACGCGTACCTCATAATTTGGCCGGGTGTTGGTCGGGTCATGCAGGACATATGTGTACGAAAATGACACTACCAAATTGGAACGCAAGAAATGCACCTACTGATCTGGACATGATCTAGCTGCGCCAAAAGAGTAAAAAATACCCAAAATTGATATTAACAATTTTAGTCGGTTTTCCGATCGGATGTTCCATCACACGCAATACGCAATGTGGGGAAGCACTAGTTTTTCGGTATGGTGTCACAAACAAGAAATGTAAAAGTGACCAAGACTTTCTAAAAGACCAAGAGAATTAAAAAAAGTAACTGTCTAAAAAAGGCATGAAATTTAGATCCCTGCTCCTTGGCGTCACCTGCGCTCGCTCCAGATGGCGGCTGTGCGGCGGTGTCCTCCAGAGCGATTATTCTACCTGCTGCTGGAGGCGAAGCATCACTCCTCGAAATTGGGGCCTTCTTCGCCATCAGCGGGGGGAAGAGGGGAGAGGGAGAGAGAGGGGAGAGGGGGAGAAGGGAGGCAGAGAGGGAGCTAAAGAGAGAGAGAGGAAAAGAGGCGCCCAGCCGGCCCCCGTTAACACGTCCTTCTCCGCGAGGCGAGCTCAACTTTTGAAGGTTCATTACGAACGGATTAACAAGTTGGTGTTCCCCGGGCTGCTATGCCACGCCGCCACGCCGCCCCACGGCCCGCGAGTGCGCAGGACGACGTCGGGACGACGTCACCGCCCAGGGCTCAACTCGATGGCCGGGAAAATGTCCGTACCGATGGCCAAGACGGACCCAAGTGCCTACAGTTGTAAAAAAAATGAAAAAAATTGTGGGGATGTATGACACGCGACTAGAAATGTTTTTAAGTTAGACTGAACTGAAAGTTTCTAAAGGTTTTGACATTGACAGCCGCGGGGGCTTTTGCAAATATATGCACAGATTTTTTTTATATTCGGAGGATTACACTCGGAACTACAGTTGCTCTTAATTTTTTGTCTGCTTAATGTTTTGGACAAGGCACAAACCCCGGCCCAAGGTCTCTGAAAAGCTGGACTTTGTGCGAAACAGCTCGACTGACTTTTGACTCCTACTTTCTCTGGAGCAGTACGTAACAGCATACTTTACCTGTAAATCACATGGTTTTCTGTCTAAGAAAAAGAGACTCAGTGTTTCACGAGACTAGGGCAAGTCAACCTGTTTATTGTTGGAAAATAAAAATTACAAACATTATGCGAACGAAACGAACGGACTTACAAACGAAACTAGAACAAGCGGCCGTAGCTGGGGGCTGGACGACGGGCGGGCTAGCGCGGGGGCGACCTGGGGGCCGAGACGGGCGGGCGGGCTATGTACAGCGGCGGCGCGTCTGCTGCGCGGCGACCTGCGGCTTTGGGGCGGCTACTCGCCGTCCATCTGGCCCATGTACTGGCCGACGGTGTCGCGCATCATCTTGGAGTTCTTCCACGCGCACACGGCGAGCGCGGCGGCCGCCTCGCAGTTCTTCTTCCCCTTGTACGAGTCCTTGCAGATGGGGAACACCTTCTTGTACTCCTCGGACCACGGCTCGTAGCCGAACTCGTTGACGGCCTTGGTGAAGGCGTCCACGTCGTACTCGCCGTCCTCGGACATGAGCTTGCGCTTCTTGGCCACGCACGCGGGCACGCACTTGCACGGGGTGAACTTCTCCTCGGCCAGGTTGACGCCGTCCTTCATCATCTCCTTGCACACGGTGAAGTCCATCTCGTAGTCCTTGACGCAGTCCATGGCGGCGGCCATGTACTCCGGGATGAGCTTGTCGCGGTTGTCCTCGGCCGAGGCGACCGCCAGCACCGCGGCCACGACCAGCACCACCACGTTGACGGCCTTCATGGTGGATGCGGAGTGGTCGCCCGCGGTGCACGCGCGCCGCTTATATACCCCGGCAGCCGGTCGGGGGTACAGCCCTGGACAAGAGCGTCGTGCACAAGGTCATCTCGTGATCTGACGTGGCGCGGCGCCGCCGGCCGGGGCGGTCATCACTGGTCACGGCACCTATCACTGTCGCGCTGCAAACAAAAATGGGCCCCGGCTGCAGCGCGTCAGGCCTCGCGGGCTCGGACGGCACGGGCTAAAACAAGAGGTTCAGAGTAACAGGGGGTGTCACTGGAACACCGACTGCAAAGTTTTTATGACAACCTATTTAAATACAGTCTTTGCATATCTTTTGTAATGAGGGTTAGTGTTCGAAAGTGAGCGCCCTCTCGTTCTGCTTGTCACGAACGCTGACCGCTCCTCCTGGAGCCACTCCTGGAGCCGCTCCTGGAGCCGCTCCTGGAGCCGCTCCTAGAGCCGCTCCTGGAGCTACTCCTGGAGCCGTGCCGTTCCTCTAGTCGGGCTGCCTGCAGAGCGCAACTCAACTAATTATCAGCGCTCGGCTCGGCTCGGTACACCCCCCCCCCTTCCCCTGGCCCTCTGTCTCCCGTGAGCCTGTGAGCCAGCAGTAACAGCTGCTTTAAGGAAATGAAAAAGACTGCAACGCACTGCGCTGCATAAAGAAGTTTACGCCCCCCCCCACCCATCACCCGAACCCGCCGGCTCTCTCGCTCATTTCCAGAGGAAGGGACTTTGTACTACGTGGACTTCTCCCACCGAGACCGAGATGCTCCCGAGAAAGTACAATGCAGCGTTCGGTTTCGCGTGTACATAATTTCTGAGCTATTTAAGAAAGTAAAAAAAAAATAATCTGAAAAGCAAGGGAGCGCGGGAAAAAAAAAACACTTCTCACGCGCACTTCCCTAACACTGAAACGGCAATGGAATTAGACTCCATGTCCTTGACTGCCTCTCATTAAACGAGAGAGAGAGAGAGAGAGAGAGAGAGAGAGAGAGAGAGAGAGAGAGAGAGAGAGAGAGAGAGAGAGGGGGGGGGGGGGAGGGGCGTAGGGGGTGATGATGGCGGAGAAGCCCATTACACACACACAAATTCATTTCCCTCTCGGCTCTCCCGCAGCGCAGGCGACACAAACCCCCGCTCGTCGTCACTTGAACGTTAACAAATTTTAAAGCCCGTCGTTGGCGGGTGTCAAAGTGAGGGAGTGGTGAGAGTGTAAGAGGGGGGAGTGGGGGGGGGGGCAGAAATTAGCGACAAATGGGAAGGGAGTCATGACCAGGATGTTATCTCGTATATTATAGCCCCTTTGTGCCTGGGGGGAGAGGGGGGGTATAGCTAGCTTGGCGACGCGGGTCGCTCCTGCCCCCTTCAACCTTCAACGCCACAGCCACCACTCCACCCTCTCCCCTCCTACCCCTGCCCCTGCCCCCCCCCCTTCCAGCCCCACACCGCCACTGCTATCTCTTTCACACCCGACTTGGTCCACAAGATGATATTTATCGTCATTAAGCCCGAGGGGGCGCCCGCGGCGCTTGCGCGAGCTGCTCTGTAGTGCTCCGCGACACACACACGTACGCACGCACACACACACACGTACGCACGCACACACACGCACGAGTCAGTCCGATCCAGACGCAGCCAGAGAAAAGGAATGGCGTTCTTCAGTGTCGCCGCGGTGCTCGCTGGAGCCGCAGCAGCTACCAGTATCAATCGAGTCCCTTTCTCGACGCCCGGGGGGGCTGCGGAGGGCAGGGCGGGGCCGGGCGAGGTGGCGAGGTGGGGCGGTGTGATCTGTGATGACACTTCCCTCCTCGGGCCGCGGTGGCCGCAGGGCCTAACTCCGAGGGCAGCGGGGGGCGGAGGGAGCCCCCCCCCCCCCCACCTCTACGAGTGCCTTCGTTACCCGAGTTTGACAACTTTTCGCGCGCCAAACTCGCTGCGCTTATGCATACACAGTGACGCCGTGGGAGGCTGCGGAGGGACCCCCAGCCCGGGCCGAGCCGCCCTTCGGGGAGCTCCCCTCCCGACGTGCAGATTCACATTGGGATTTGGAAACGGGGGAAAAAATTCTGCATAAGTTGATGTAAGCGTCATGGGCGGCTGAAAATGGAGGGTAGCCGGCTGGAGCTAAGAGAGGGGAGGGGTGAGGCCAGCGTTACGTTCTAAGCGAACTGACGCTGGCCGACGTTACACCCCTCTCGGACAGACCAGGCGATGTTGCGCTCGCTCCTTTAATTGTCTCACAGCCAGTGCCGGGGGCCATTCCCTCTCTCTCTCTCTCCAGCAGTTTGCTCTAAACAGGAAAGAACATCCCGACCCGACCGACATCGAAAAGCCACTCTCGCCTCACTCTGCTCACAACCAGCACAACCACCCCAAACACCGCAATAATAGAAATTCAGAATACTGTTCTTTTCTGACGGTGGAAAATTTGTCATTTTTGAAAATAAATCTTCTCGGAGAGGTTTGTGTAATCGACCTTGTAGCGGTCTGTCAATACGAAAAAGTATTGTACTGTACTATTCAATTCAAAGAATCCCAGTTTCAGGCCCTAAACGTTTGTGAAACTGGTTGCTGCCAACCTAACAGACACAAAATAGCAATTCTAAGAGAAGTAACAAATTTAATTAAAAATAAGCGAAAATAAGATTATACAATCAGTGAACGATGAAATGAGTAATAAAAAAATAAGTAAAATAACTCACCCAAAAATGCATTGCATTCTATTCACTAGTCAGGGTATCTTCATTTTTGATATTTGATATTTCATTAGGTTTCCGAGTCCAAGGGAATGCCAAAAGCGTTTCCAGTTCGTGACTGATCCGTGGGAGCGCGCCACGGAGCACCAACGCAAATAACCTCCGCCACCGCGTAGCAGCAAACAAACCGAAAAACAGTAAACGCTTCGCGCGCGATCGCGTCGGTACATACCAGTAATTACAATCGAATTGTAATGGAACGTTCCTCGCGGAACGCTGTGACGGAGATCTCCACTGCTCTTGCGGAATGTCCTTCGGGTCCTTCGTCGTTCTTTTGCGACAGTGTTGTGTTCAGGACTGCGCCTGACCCGCCTGACCAAATCAGTCGAGGTTAGGTGCACACCGCCGACACACCGGAGCTCTGCCTACCGTTTCATTTCCACACAAGTAAGTTGCAACCTTCAGCGTGTCTGTCGCGTGTAAATGTCCACTTCGTGCTCAGTGAACGACTTCGCGGCGACTCTGGCGCGGGCGACCCTAACCTCTCTGCCCGACTCGACTAGATCGGCAGCCCAAGAGCACGCAATGTTTTCAGGCACATACCTCGGAGATAACAGCGTGCAGCTAGAAAGGACGGTAGTAAAGCCGTGGGGCTCGGAGTGGAGAGAACGATGGGGGTCCGGACGAGTGAAGAGAGTTTCCCCGTTTACCCACGGTAAAGTCGCTGGGCGCTAGGATACGCCCTCGTCCAACCCCCTCCTCTCTCGCCCCAACCCCCATTCCGACCCGTCCCCTCGCCAACACGTCGCCGCCGAGTTTGGGAATGAAAACTATTTAAATTGGCGGTCAGCAGCGTTCCCCTGCATGTCGTGTTGACGTCCAACTGCAGCCGAACTGAGCCGGACCCAGCGGGCGAGGGCGGGCCAGCGGTAGCGGTATCGTGCGATATTCATGGGATTTGTTCAAATGTACGTATGTGTGGAGTGGAGGTATGCGCGGTATGTGCCTGCGCAAACGTTCACCTCCCTGGGAAGTGAGGTAGAAAAGAGGGGTCGGGGTAGGCGTGGGGAGCAGTGACCTCCAGACAGTTTTAAAATATTTTTTAAATCTTTCTAAAAGAAATGCCCCAACAAATGTCTCTTAACCTGCCACGTCAAATGCATACTTGCATATACCATTATAGACCTATCATGTACCTATATCATTGGTACCTCAAGCGAGGTAGAGTTTCGGTATCAGGCCTATCTGCTTTTGGCGTAAGATCCGTGAGATCTCTTGGTTCTCGCGAAACCAAGAACCAGCCTTTTTTTAAAGAAATAAATGTTCAAGATCGCGTTGTTATGGAGTTGGTGACATCCGCGCTCCGACTTCACTTTTGGATCTATCCCGCAGCTCGCCCCATTCCACAGCATTTGCTTTTATTTTGCATTTAATTCTATGCTCCGCGCCATAGGCCCTTTCGATACGGCAGTCTTTGTGATGTAATCCCCCCTCCCCCCCCCTCTCTCTCTCTCTCTCTCTCTCTCTCTC